CAAATTGCATTGGTGTCTCTTGACTAGGAACCCTGGTAGCTGGGCCCAGCAGGCGATAAGCTCACTGCCCAATTCCTGACACCCCGCAGCCAGGGGAGTCATTTGGTTTTTAACAGCTCGCCTTGTGTCTCCCTGTTCTCAGCACTGTGCCCCAGGTGATGGGCACCAGCTCGCCAGCCCAGCAGGCAGAGAATGAAGCCAAAGCCAGTTCTGCCATCGCTATCGATGAGTCGGAGCCCGTCACCAACATCCAAATCCGGCTCGCTGACGGCGGGCGACTGGTCCAGAAGTTTAACCACAATCACAGGTACAAATGCGGGTTACTAACTGGGAAGGGCTGAATGACACTGCAAACTGTGCTCAGATGGAGCAGATGTTAACATCCTGGCTAGCCTGCTAAAGGGAGCTCTGGGGATCCTTCTGTATAGGTGAAGAGGAATGAAATTATTGTGGGGTTTTAAGGCAGTCGTTAACTGTTGGAAGGATAGGATTTGCTTTCCAAATAGTGATGTGTTACAGCCAGTGATGCTGCACCTGGGAGCTTCAGCATTATCAGCAGAACTTTCCTTAATGTCACCTATAAAAACCTGAATCTCTTCTAAGGGCTTTAGAAACTGTCAGATAATAAGGAACTTGGTTCAGTTATTCTGACTCTCAATTCAGACTTTTCTACTGGGCTGTTCCCTGGGCTGAACGGAGCACCAAGGAGTGCTCTTACAGCAGTTCAGTTCCCTTGGACAAGCGAAGCTGGCTTATATACCCTGCTGCTTCGTTAGACTTCTCTCCTGAAGTCCTTCTCACCTACCTGATCTCGGAGAGCGTGGCCATTTGTTTGTACTCATTCCTCCAGTTTCCGTAAGAGAATCAAGAATGATGCAAAAAGTTACAAAAACCTTCTTCTGCGATCAGGTGCAGGAAATAGATCCAGTGTCGGTGTTGTGGCTGCTCTTGGGAGTCGAGATCATCTAGATTGTGCTGTGTGTGATGAGCTCAGTCACTTACAGCAGCTAGTGTCAAGTAATTTCTTAATCTGTTCATCTTGAAGGGTTCAGAAGCCTTCAATTTCAAATAGCCACCTGACAACACGAGTGTTCCAGTTGGGCAGTGTAAAAGAACACTTAGCCGAAAGTCTTTAACCTACAAAGCAGCCTGTGGTATTTCACTAAATGGGAACCTACGGAGGAGTAGGTTAAATCGGAATTGCTTGGCTGCGGCCTCTGCTGTTAGCTGAAAAGCAAGCGCAGGGTTGCAGGGTTGCACGCTCTGGGAAGGATGGATTTAGGCTGTTGCCATGCGCTTTTACAGGATGTTCAGTAACAGGATCACCCTTGTGTGTTTGATCCCTTTGGACAGGATCCGTGACATCCGACTCTTCATAGTAGATGCTCGGCCAGCGATGGCCGCCACCAGCTTCGTCCTCATGACCACCTTCCCAAATAAAGAGCTGACTGATGAGAACCAAACCCTGAAGGAAGCCAACCTGCTCAATGCTGTCATTGTTCAGCGGTTGATATAAAGGAACCCACCTCGCCACACGCCTGCCTGCAGTGCGCATGTGTCGTCTCGTCCTGTGCGTGCACCTGCGCCGTGCAGCACAGGCTCACATCTACTCGTAGCTCTGGGTTCTTAGGTCTCGGTTGGACTTTTTTCTCTTTAGTTGCATTTGCCATGGGGTTTTTTTTTTTTTTTTGTGATGATCAGTGGACTTGAAAATAAATAAACAAAACGAATCTGTTTTGAAAGGAGCTGCAGCCTATTGTGCCACAAATTCTCCCATGAGAGTTCAGTTACCTTTGTGGATTGCGTTACTGCACTCTTGAGAGGGGGGGAAGGGAGCTCCCAGGGAGCAGTTTCTGTCCCTGCCGACTGACTGCTCATCACAATCTTTTTGCTCTTCCCTCTCCTCTGGGGACTGCTGGCAAAGTACTCCCTTTATTTTCGCACATTAAATATAAACTATACGAGAATGGGTGATCTGATTGTCAGGCTAATGGTCACACTGCTGTAAAAGCATTCTGGGGGAAGTCTTTGTGAAACAGCTGTCGCTCGGTGTGGGGAAAACTCCGATGTGTGTGTGTAGGTGCAAGGTTTAACTCTTCTTGGGCTTTTCTGGAGAGAGAGTCCTGACTTTCCTTCCCTCAGCAGAACTCTTAGGGGCGTTCATTGCAGTACCCGCCTGCCCTGCCTGCATTTTCTCCAGCGGTCCAGGCTGACTGCAGTTTTAATTTGCTGTATTGCATTTCTCTTGAGAAACCCTGCTGCTGACTTTTTCTTTCCAAGAAGACACAAAGCTGAATCGGCTTGAAATGACTGAAAGTAAAAGGCAAATGGAGTCTGTCTTGCTGGAAAGCAAGTTTTGCTTTAAGAGGTGAATTATTGAGATGATGGAAACAGCTCAGGTGGGAAAACTCAAGGCTGTGGTACCCTTTGATTTATTTCCTCTCCCCTGCTGAGGACTAACAGAGCTGAACACCTGGAATTCTCCAGCTTTGGTCTGTTCCACTGTTTGTCTTTTGGGCTCAGGTCTCCATATCTTTCTTTCCTTTGAACAGAATCCTGCGGGTGAATTTGTTACGCCTGGACGCGAGGGACTGGTAGTGCTGGTGTAGCGTCACGCGTACGAGTTGCCATCTAGCATTGCGCCGCGGCACTTTGCGCCGACCCGCAGCGAGGGCTTTGGAGCAG